TAAATTATGGTACGAGGTAGGTGGGTGGGTAGGCAGACAGACAACCAAACCTAAATATTTTTATTTGTGATCTCCTATGTTCTCTAGGTGTTGAGGTCCAAACACAGCATCTAATTTACAAAAAATCTCATACATCAAAGCATGTTAACCTAACAAATATGTTATATTGATGGTCTTACATTTAGATACCTCACCTCAAGTAAGGCATTGAAGTTTTTATACAGTTATAAACCTGACTTCTGGAGAACCAGAGCACCTGTTGAGGATCTTTTTTTTTTCCTAACTAGAAAGCCAAACTGCTGCATTTCATCTAGTGGCCTAATCTAATAACAATTCAAGTACGGAGGCTACCTTGGTACAACAGACAACATGCCAGCATAAAGGCTTATGACAATGTTGCCTTATCTCAATGTTATGCTACTTATTTCTATAATTTCCAACTGTTTAATAAGTGATAACAACCTTTTAAGGGGTCAGAAGCTAAGTAAAATCAGGCCTTAATACTTGGACGCAAGATTTCCTTGGAAATCCAGCAATGGAGGCTAAATTGGAAGAAGGCAGTGGTAAACTCCTTTGCACTATAGATAAGACTTCAGGGAGGCTATATCTTTGCAATTATCAGCTGATTAGCTTAAGAGTTGGGTTTGTAAAGGCATTAATGGAAGATCAGGTTATTTTAAACCAAAAAGATTTTTCACAATCAATGATTTCAATCAGCAATGAAAAGCAGCATGGAGACAGAGATAATAAGCCATTGTACCTCGAAGAATCGGTAATTAACAAGGAATTCTATGTACACAGCTATTAAAGTGACCTTTTCTTTTTTACTTCCAAATATTAGTGTACAGTAGTAAAATGCACAATTATCCAGCAAGTAGCACCAAATACCCACAATATTAAACCTGTATGTATACATACAGTAGGTACATACCTGTAGGTATCCAGCACATATACATACAGTATCTTTAATGTATTGTTTAATACTATTTCAGGGATTTTTTTTAATTAAGTTAAACAGGTCAGAGATTGAATGGAAATACGGTGATAGTTTAGAATGCTGAAGACAAACTTGTTTTATGATTGAAAGAGAAAGTACAAGCTACTTTTCATAATTACAGCATAATATTTTAAGGATATGGATTATTACAGTAAATGAACATTTAAAATAAAATGAAGCTAATTTAATTCTAATTATTCCAAATAAATATGCAGTGGTATAATTAGGATTCTTAGGTTGGCTGAAGACAGCAGGTCAATATTGCAGATAGTATTGATAGGAAGAATATACAGTGAGTACAATGATTGGTTCATTTCTCAGATGATATAGACCCCTCATTCTGTTCTTCCAAAAGTAAACATTTAACTCATTTTGAGTATAGGGTAAATGTTTTTCAAGCTCAATTAACCAGATAAAGATTCTGATGTATCTTAGGTGAAGATAGTTCAATCATTTCTACAATAGATTGCTGCCATAGGAATCCAGAAGATGGCACTAAAGAGAAAAGTCTTAAGAAATGGTAATAATGTACAATAAAAACTGCTATAGTGCACAGATCAACTTATTCGGCAAAACTGATGGTTCAAATTTACCAACCATATGCTTTATTTTAAAAAAATTTTTTTACTTATTTATGAAATTTATATGCTCCCCATCTCACTGACAAGGCAACTTTTACAAATAAATCAGAATTCTTGCTTGAAATAAACATTTTGGAGCTACTTTGATAATTATTCATGCATATTTTAAAACTTCATATCTGACATAACACTATTTGCACAAGATATGCAAATTGAGAGCTCCCATTTAATTATTTTGCATTACAGAAGAATGAAAATGCCAGGATACTCCATTATTGCTTGCAAGGATTTCAAGTCTGTGCAGCCTCTTTTATAAGGCTAAAGATGAATTCCTTTACAGAGCATGATTATTGTATAAATGGGATACCTTCACACTGGATCAGACTATTTCACAAGTGTGGAATTTCAAAAAGACACCAAGTATTCCCCTGGCCAATGATTGGAAACACATTATTTGACATTTCTTTTTCAAGCTTCAGTGGCAAGAAAGGCAGAGGCTGCAATTATTTCTGTTCAGTTTTGATTTAGACTAATATGTAAACCTAGCCATTGTGGCTTGTCTTTAAAAAAAATAACCACCACAAATTGCTTTAGAATTAGAAATGCATAAATCTTTCATTTTGTCAAGCAACTGTGTTAAAAAGATTGTCTTAAGATGATGTATAATCCCAGCAATTATGTTTACACGCTATATCTTAATCATGGCTGCTAAAATAAGCCACAATTAGCTTCTTTACGCAACAGGATAAGCCAAAACTAAGCAAACCATATTAGGTTTATCTTTAACATATGTAGAATGTAGTCTCTATGTATATTGTCCTCTGAGCTGGGATTGTATGTTATTGATGTAATGATCTTCAAATAAAAAAATAAAAAAATCAATTGCAGATTTGTTAGTTTTTATTGCTGCTATACCATGTAACTCTAGATACATGATTTCCATTTCCTCTATTTTGATCTTACCAAATATATATATATATATATGGACTTTTCACAGACAGACAGAGTCTCTGTGTGTAAAGATTTACCTATCAGTCATATCTGACTCTAAGGCATGGTGCTCATCTTCATTTCTTGGTGAGGGAGCCAGCATTGTCTGAAGACATTTTTAGTGGTCATGTTGCCAGCATGACTATATGCCAAAGGTGCATGTAACACTGTTACCTTCCCACCAAAGGATGGGAATTAATCTATTAATCTATTTGCATTTGCATGTTTTCAAATTGCTAGGTGAGCAGGAGCTGGAGCAAGTAATGGCAGCTTACCCCTTTGCACAACACTTGGGTCTCAAACCTGGGCTGTTAGCTCTTCAGCTGACAAGCTCAGTATCTTTAACTGATGAGCCGTCATGCCCCCATGATTCACACACACACACACACACACATACACACACATCAAAAGCGCACTTCCATAGATCGACTCCTTGTAGGAATTGAGCAAAGGCTCAATCCATCACACTGCATGCATGCATATGCTTCATTACAACATATCTAGGCTACAGCCTACAGTTTGACTTGGAAGACTCCACTTCCAAATCATTGTTAAAAATGACTGAAAGTATGTTCTTAGCGGTGTTGTAAAGCTGCACTTTCAAGCACATCCAAAATAAGAACACTTCCTGAGATGTGGATTGAACTTTTAAAGATGAGTAGAACTACAGCTTTATTTCAGGTCTAGAATATAGAACAGCAGGACAGGAGCACATCTCTGAATAAATTTAATAATTGCTGCATGGGCTTTTATTCTCTTTATCTCACTGAATATCAGTGAGAGTTTTTGTGGTCAAGAAATGCATTGGATTAGAGCTGATAATATTCTTTCCAATCCAATAGAACGTAGAAAATAAATTATATAAAGGCACTCTGGATTCTGTCTTTCAGCAGGATAGCTCCTAGAAAATTGAATAGAGCCGGAACCAATTAGGTGTAGCAACGAAGCCAAAGAAGTGTTTGAAAATGAGCCAGCTTTGTAGCAATACAAAGAAAAACATTCCTTTTCACTGTCCTCTCCCTTTTCCTTTTTTTTTATTTAGAGAATCAAGTTATGGTGCGTATCATTTATTCTAATTATACACTTTATTATGATTATGACTTTATTGTTAATCCCTGTGGTTAATACAGGAAATGAAGCAGAAAACAATATCCTACTCCAGGAACTACCCAGGAGAAAACCACACCCCCATCAACACTACTGATAGAAACAGGAAGCAAACTTTGCACTCACTTGCATTTATGATGTTGCCTATTATAGTCAGGTCATGAAATGTCTGCAAGCCAACAACTAAGCTCAGACAGTTTATTCTTTATCAATATAAAACTACACAAACTGAGTTCCCTTGTAGACAGAGGTAAAGGCAGAGCTGTTTCTAGCAGAACCCATTTTCAAGCAAGACCCTCTGCAGCAAACCTAAAACTTTGGAACAGACACAGAAGCTTCACCCAATTCATGTAATCAAGAATTGGAGCACATAAAACATGACAGGTAGCAAATAAATAATTAAAATCTCTCTGGAGGTCAGGGATTCTCTAAAGTAGACCTGGGGCTAGAAGGCAGGGGAATGGAGGAGAGGAACAGAACTCTGATCACATAATATAGGATTTTGCCTACATTCCTATTAGATAAATTTCTTACAAACATTGAATCAAACTATCTTATGACTCACAAGCTGCTAAGAGATCCTGAATCACACTACTACATTGTGCTGAAACCAACAGGAATACTTCAGGTCTAAATCTGAATGAAATCTCAGGTTTCTTTGCAACTTTCTCTTTAAATTAAAAGGCAGTGCAATTGCAGAGGGATGTGGAAGTGGCTATGGCAACAACTCTCCTGAGCTATCAAATTAGACACTGAAGAGAATGAACATCAACCGTGTATGTGGAATTTTTCTGCCCAGCCTTATTTCTAAGTACTGTAGATGTGTAAATATTAAATATTTATTGAACATTAAGCAGGGAAATAAATGAAATCTGATGTTTTGTACATTATGCATCATAATTTTATGGACAACTTTTTGATGTGAAAAGAATAAGTGGACACTTATTTAGAGATTAAAAACATCATTTCCCAACCGTATTTTTTACCTCTTGCAATTAGCTTCTTCTCTTAGGGGTCCATCTAAGAACACAAGCTTGATTTAACTGAACTAACCCTATATTTCAACTTGAGCAGAATTATTTAAAGAGTTGAGAAAGACTTAAGAAGTAATGACAAGAGAAAATTAAGAGCAGTAAATAAAAATAAATTTAAATAAATTATGTAAATGTTCCTTCCCATTCTGTTCATGCAAACCATGTTTGTTTCCACAGATCATACAAATTCATAGTCTTTTAAACTTCTCCAGTCCTTCAGAATCTCATCAACCCCATCCAATGACAATTAATCATTTTCCACACAACCCACTCCTTTTTCATCTATTCATTTTGCAATTAAATCTGCATTCATTTTTTATACATGGAGAGGTTCAATGTATTCTTCAATCTATTCTTTACAGATATCTCCCAGAATTTTTCCAGTTTTCTAGTCTAGAGAGGCAAAGAGTTAATCTAGCTCTAGTGACTCAAGAGTCATTGTCACTTAAGGGAATACTGAATGGATTTTATCAGTGAAACTCTGGGAATGTGTATCCTAGTGTCTGAACTACAGACTACAATTACAATAGGTAGAGTGTATACTGGGTGGCCAAAGGTCATCCAGTGAGCTTCATGGTCAAATGGTGACTTGAATCTGGATCTCCACAGTCCACGTTAAATATCTTAACAGTAACCATTGCAATACACAGCTTAAAGAGACATGCAACAGATCAGGAAGTCAGATTATCTATGCTTGCTCTGAACATTTTTTAGCTAAGTAGCACATAGAAATACAGTAGGAAAGTGCAACTTTGTTTTGGAAAATCAAAGACCTGTAGTCCAATGGTCAGTACTGGTAGAAGTAGAGATAAACATGTCATTATAATCATGCATCCTAAGATAACTAAGGCAGTGACAGCTAATGCAATCAGTGTGACTGAAAATGCAGATTGTAGGAATCAACTTCTGATCTCCAGGTTAGGTATGGATAAGAAGGAACCCTAAACCTTTTGACTGAATTACATTAAATCCAAAGGATTAGGGTTCCTTCTTACCCATACCTAGCCCTACTTCATTCCTACTTGGCTCTTCTAGCTAATGAGGGTACCTAGAGCTTCTTCTTAAGTTTCTGCTGTTACTTCCCCCCCAAAATTCATGTCTGTCTCCTTAATGTGCCTATTATTTTGTCCCAGACCATACATGAGGTAGCTAAAAGTAATCTTGAACCGCTCTTAGTGAAACAGTAGATGGGGAGAAATACTAATTCCTATCAGCCAGGTTTCATGCACACCCCCCCCCCCCAAACAACCAAGGAGAATGTGATTATGCAGCAGAAAATCAACTATGTGGATCAGAGCCCTTCTCCTATCCAGTGAACCAGGAGAAGCTTCCTGATTTATCTTGTCTGGTTTATAACGCAACCTCTACCCCACTATAGAACATTGATAGTCTCCAATTACCATTAGCCATAAGCACAGCACCTGAATTGTGGGGTGGGAAAGTGTCCAGTATGCCATAGTTGTTGTCGGAGCTGTTAGTAACACTGTGATATAAATACAGCCTCACTGCTTTTACTTTGCTCTTCTAGCTAATGAGAGTATTTAGAGCTTCTTCTTAAGTTCCTGCTCTGTTACTAAAAAAAAAAATCAATGACTTGAAATTACAGTTAGAAGCTGGTTTCCCGTTTCTGGCTGGTTTCCTGTTTCTGGCTGGTTTCCTACAATAATGAAAATGTAGGCCACATCTGAGATCACATATCACATTAAGTCATTAGGCGATTTATTTCTTTAGCATGAAGTGTGAACCTAGCAACTATGATTTATAGATCATGGTTTATTGCTTCAGATTTAATTAAATCATTTTATATTATGTATGTCTCTGAATAATTACAGAGAAATTCTCATTAAGCTCAGTGGAATTTACTGTTAAATAAAAATACACAGTTGCATTTGAGTTCCTGTTGGCATAAAAGGAATGTAGTTATATACATGTACTTTTGGGGCTTGCTGATTTTACTTTATTGCTGCAGCTTCATGCTTGGATGAAAGCACAAGGAGCTACTATAGAAAGTGTCAGGGGAAAGGAGTGGAAATGATGAAACCATCCATGCATCAGAAAAGAACTTCTATTTATAGAAACAGATTTTTGGATCCAAGCTTTTAAAACCTCCTAGAAGTGTTTAAATCCAGAAAATGTAGGGCAAGCTACTAAGATATATCAGGGAAAAACTTCAATCCTTCAGATCTACCTTTAAACATTGAAGATAAAATTTCAAAATCTGTCCTAAATTTGATCACAAAACAAATTAATTCTTTAAATGCATTTGTATACATTTACATTACTTCAGATGAAGTTCAAGGCAGTTTCCTCACTTGCCATTAATAGAGAAAATAAAAAAGATCAAATCACAAAACAAGCAAACATGAAATAAGAGTGAATAAGTTGAGAACAAGTCATATTAGATGGTATTGATTTGAATACCATCGTTTAAAGACAATGAAATTATAAAGCTGTACTGTATTTTGATGGGAAGGAAAGATGCCTCACAAAGACAGCAAGATGAGAATCAGTGAATCGGGTTAGCGTTCTCTAAAGTTAGATGCATTTTCTCATTTCTTGTATTTTATTTCTTTGGCTTATTTTCTCTGATTTGTATATTGCTGCTTATTCTGAAAGAGGCAGTTTGGCTCAGTAGTTAAGGCATCAGACTAGAAAGCCAAAGACTGGGATTTCTAGTCCTGCCTTTGCCATGATAGCTGGGTGACCAATCACTCTCAATCCAAATCACCTCACAAAGTTGTTGTGGGGAAAATAGGAGGAGGAAGGACTATTAGGTATGTTTGTTACCTTGAGTTACTCATAAAAATAATAAAGCTGGGATACAAATCAATAAAAAGAGGGAAAGAGGCTGGCTTTCTGGGTATATTTATTTGTAATGGAGAAAAAAAGCTGTGCATCACCTTTAAACAGCTGAAGACCCCAATTAAGACTAGACAGGGCTATGCAAGTGGGGTAGGATTAAATCATGCAGATAGGTGGTTTACTTTTTGTTTTTCATAGTTTTTATGAGGATATGCTTGCTTTAGGTCTTATGTTTACCATTTTTTCCATCTTAAAAAAGTTTTCAGAATGATACTGTTTTTCATTGGATGGGTACTGGGGCTGCAAAAAACAGGTTTGGGAGCCAAATAAGGCCACAGACTGCCTAGAGCTGAATCACTCTAAATTCCACTGTAAACTAACCTGGAGATAGAGATAATGCAGATCCAGAGTTTGCAGTCTGAAACTCCTTGGAGAAATGGATGATAAAATTTAATATTCATAGAGTTAGATTGGATGTAAACAGTTCTACTTGCACCATTCATAATTCAGTGTACTTAAAAACAGTGGAACACATCACTGTGGGCAACTTTTTTAATGCATGCATTACAAATGTATATACATTTACACTGAAAATATTTTTTCACTTTGGGTTCATTTTGGTCCCTTCCAATCCATCTTGGCTCTTGGCAGTTGTCTGCACAAGTCTAGAGTTAAGGGCTCCTACTATAATGGTTGGAAATATCCAGCAGGTATTTTCTAAACTAAAAAAGTGATGGCCAGATTCAGTTTATGCTGGAACTCTTCTTCGCTCCAATCTTAGATAAGTGGGAAGCAACGTTTTGCACTGAAAGTGCTTGCCCGCGTTCATTTTCCCCATGCACGTTTACTTCCAGTATTGTTGGTAGAACGGAGTTGTTGCACCCACCGCCTTTCTCCACTTTTAATTTTTCCTGACAGGGAAGTCTTGTTCGGAGCCAGGCCTTCTTGAAACGGATGTCAACAATGCCCGCGGCCTATTTTTTTTCTTAGACTCTAACCTGGGCTCCCGCTCCCTCACCTGCCGGTGAGCACTTTCCCGCCTTGGGCTCAGGTGGGGCCAGTAGACAGTCAGGTGGCTCTTCCGCCTCCCCAGCTGACGTGGACGCCAACTGGAATCCGCCCTATAACAGGCGCGGGCGGCGAAGCGAACGGCGAGAGCGGCGCGGCGTTGTGGGGTGTGTTGACGGGCGGGTTGGTGCCTAGACGTCGCCGCCCTCCGTTCTGGGCGCCACCGGAGATAGGAAGAGTCCGCGAGAGGCCGACGGGGGGATGGCCGCGGAGACGAACGCCGGCAGCCAGCAAGGTAAGGGGAGCGGGGCGTTTTATTTTAATTTTGTTCTGGTCGCCGTTCCTTTTCTTTGGGCTCCCGCGGAGGGAAAGCTTTGGGTAGCCACTTCACGTTACACTTCGGGATGGGTTTGCCTCGGCGGGGAGAACCGTAGCTCCCTCCATGCAGCTCGGAAAACCGCCGCCTGCTCTGCTCCCACCCTGCGACCCCGGCCTTGGATTCCGAACGGCGTTTCCGAGCGAGAGGCGTGGCGCGCATTGGGTGCCTCTTTCGCCCGAGGCCTTAGGCTGGTCCGCCTTTGGCCGCAGCCAGGGCGAAGCCGTTATGACTGAAGCCCGAAGATACACACAGCTCGGCACAAGGCAGCAGCAGTTCGGGACTGCGAGTTTTGGCGAGCAACCAGCGGCGGCGTGTTTGCTTTGCAAGCTCTCCGTGCCTTGGTTCGCTCCCGCACCTCCTCTTCCTCTTGCCGTGGTGCTTGTTGCATCCAGGAAGTGGGAACAGCCCGGTTTTAACGAGGTGCTACCAGAACGTGGACTCACGGGTGTTATCTAGGCGGGGAACGAATTCCAAAACTTGAGAGACACTCCCCTAAAAAACAACACCCGAATTTAGAAACTGCACCTTGGAAAGCTTTGAGCTCCAGGGGTAGAACAGGAACAGCTGTCTTCCTTCTTGCTACAGGGTGAGGACATTGCCAGAGGTGTGGCTACCGCCCTACAAAGGGCCAGGACTTTTAGTACAATAGACCTTTCCTTCTATTGTTAGCAAGGTATCTTTTCTGGGGCTTTCTCAGCTTTTGGTACATGTGGTAATAGCACTGATGCCTTCCACTTTTGTATAACGTTTCTTCCACCCTTTGTGTATTGCTTTCTGGAAGCCGCAAAGCTAGGTAAAACCTACCCTGATACTGTGGGTTGGTCTTACCATTGCTTCTCCCAAATTTCAGATTGCAGCAGACTTGAAACTTGGTGGTGGGCCCAAAGACCAATATGAACTTGCAAGAAGCTGAGATTGCTGATTAACAGGCTGACTTAGGCTGAATTTGGGTGGGGAAACCCATAGTCCTTAATTTTTTTCTTCCCAAAGAGAGTACTGCCTGGGTGAATGAAAAAATCTAATAAAATTAAGCAGCTGGACTTTTTGCTATAAAGTTTACTAGATGAAAATAAACACTACTGCTTTGTAGGATTTTTTTTTTTAAGAGGAAGAGAATCCAGGAATACTTAGAACTGGGACACCATATGAGTTGCTTCTTTCACCCAGCACATTGTTAGGTGTATAGGTGTGCATTTCTGCACATGCAGGGAACCTTTAAATCCATTTTTTAGTATTAACCAAAACATATATTTGAATTTTTTCCCCTAAAGACCACACATTAAATTCATTGTCATGATTTAGTGAATTCTGATTGTTCTCAGTCATAAAGTAAGCATATTGAATGAATTTGTGCAATATAATCAAAATGTGTCTATGCACTATACTGATATTCTAAAAAAAATAAGAAGTCCGGAATTATAGTTCCCAATATACCCTCCTGAAGATTATGGAAATTGTAAAGTAGCACATATGAAAAGCAACAATAATATGTAAATATTGCATTCAGATCTAGTGGTTGCTGTGGCTTTTGATTGCCATATAAATTACTAAATTAGATAGGCAGCCATATAAATCTTGTAAGTAAAGTATCTTACGTTTTTCATATATGTAGTGCAGAGAACAGATAAAGATTCACTTTGTATGAGGAAGACAGACTGCCATACTCACTTTTTCTGTGTGGATAAATTGAAACTAAAGAAGGGTTGTCCATTATTTAATACCAATATTGCATAGAATCATTTCTGTTTCAGAGCCTCGGAAGCTCTTTATGAAAAGTGCAGCTGAAAATGCAGCTGATTTGCCAGGTCCTTGGCCTCTGAAAGAAATAATGGCTAATTGTTTAAGATTTTGAATAATCTGCAATTTGCATGGTGAACTAACTGCACATATTGGATTTGCACAGCAGACTAACCTCAAATGTGGTTGCTTACTTTATGGCTCTGTGTGTTGTGTAAATTGATAGTGGTTGGCTATTAATGTTAATACACAGTCTTTTTAACAGCATGTGTGGTAGCCATTTTAATAATGGCTAACTCATGGCCAATTCATGGTTAGATTTATATGTGCCTTCAAGTCAATTTTTTGTTCATGCTAACTTTGTGGACTAGTCCCTGTGGTTTTCTTGGCAAAGATTTTTAGTAGTGGTTTACCACTGCCTTGGGGCTGAGAGAAAATCATTGGCCCAAGGTAACCCAATAAGATGGGGCTAGAACTCATTATCTCCTGATTTCTAAATTGATGTGCTCTACCTAGATGTTGAGTTGTGGCAACTGGACTTCTTTTTTAGAAAAAAACTTTCAGAGAACTCTTATCTGGATGATGCGAATCACCATGTTGATATACTCCCCCCCCATTTATTTATTTATTTATTTATTAATTATATGTAAAATGCTAAAATGGATGAATTTCTCCTACTATACTCTATACAGGTAGTCCTTGACTAATGACTGGTGGCTTTCTGACCATTTGAATTTATAACTATTTAAATTTACGACGGACCAGTTCCCCTGCCCAAAAGTACTTATGGCCTTGTTCTGATGTCCCCCACCCCGTGGTCACATTACTGCATTTCAGGTACTTGATATCCACCTTGCATTTATGACCATTTGCAGCAATCTGTGGTCATATGACCATGATTTACAATGTTTTTGCCAAAAACCAGTGTTTACTTCTGGTTTTTGGCATGCCTCATAGCAAACAGTAGGTTCTCAAGAGTCACTTAATGATCATGGTGATTTGCTAAATGACCACTGCTAAAAAGTCATAAAATTGATTATGTGATGACTCACTTTATGACTATCATGACTTACGATCATAATGGGCAGGTTCCATTACGGTCACAAGTTGAGGAATATCTGTGTAGTATCTCAAATCTGTAGCTTGAAGAAATTGGTTTGGTTTAATGAGATAGTAATAAATATTGATTGGCAAACCTTTTATGTTTTGTTGCCAAGCCAACAAAACAACACAAGCCAACTTGGAATTTTTACTTTAGTAATAATTTAGCTGATTTGCATCTTCTCATAATATATATTGTACTAATAACTTGAAGGCTATTATTAGTAACAGAATCCTCAACATAGAATGCGTTCTCAAGTCTTTGTCTTCTGTGTTGTTTTAATACCATATTTACCCCAAAGGAAATTAACCCTACATTAATGATGACACAGAGGAAGACTGTGGAAAAGAAAAAGAAACATGGAAAAAAGTCTTGTGTAAATGTATAATGTCCATTATACAATGGAGCTGAATAGTAACCACTGTGCTCAAGATTGAGTCATTTCAATATTTGTGCAATCTACAAAAACCAGCTTTTTAAAATTAAATTACATTTTTCAGTATTTTTCAACCAAAGAGGAAAGCAGTTACCTCCTTCCCTTACTTGTCTAATGTAATAGGTGAGTCTTTTTACTTTCTTTGTTATTAAGCCCTATTAAATGTTTTAACTCAGGGGTGTCAAACTGGCACCTGTGGGCCAGATACCTCACTCACCGGCCATGCCCATCCCAGTTCTACAAAGGGAATAAATGTCACGATACATCACGTGATGGCAACATGACGCGGCGAGTTTGACACCAATGTTTTAACTCTTTTGAAATGGTAAATACACAATTTAAACTAGTTTCTTAATCTGAGTAGTCATTCTTTACAACAATGTACCGAGAGGATTGGAAGACATAATTGTGGTTATAGGCTGGAAGTGTTAAATGCTATTTGTGAGTTTAACTATGATTAAGGTTAAACAAGGTTCCAAGCTGGGCTTGTGTAAAAACAACAGGATTTTTTAAATCTCACTTAAAGAGGAGGGGTAACAAGTTAAAGGTACAGGTTTTCCTCATGCATATGTGCTAGTCGTTTCTGGCTCTAGGGGGCAGTGCTCATATCTGTTACAAAGCCAAAGAGCTAGTGCTGTCTGAAGACTTCTCCATGGTCATGGCCGGCATGACTAAATGCCAAAGGCATACGGAACACTGTTACCTTCCCACCAAAGTGGTCCCTATTTTTCTACTTGCATTTTTACATGCTTTCGAACTGCTAGGTTGACAGAAGCTGGGACAAATAACAGGAGTTCACTCCATTACACGGTGTTAGGGATTCGAACCACCGACCTGCCAACCTTTCTGATTGACAAGCTCAGCGTATTAGCCACTGAGCCACCGCATCCCTAAAAACATAGTAAACTACTATAAATGCTCATTTTAATTTCAAAGAGAATGAATTTCTCTTATTTTGACAGAATATGCTCCTAGGAAATACTATCGTTTTTCCAAATTTACAGTAGAACAAATCTTGTCCTTCAAAATAGTCTTTCAGAAGATTATTTTTTCCGAAAACTTGTCTAAAGTACCAAGAATAGTATAAGTAGTGGTGCAGTGGTTAGAATGCAGTATTGCAGGCTACCTCTGCTGACTGCCATCTGCCAGCAGTTGGCAGTATGAGTCTCACCAGCTCAAAGTTGACTCAGCCTTCCATCCTTCTGAAATTGGAAAAATGAGGACCCAGATTGTTGGTGGCAATATGCTGACTTAGAGAGCGCTGTAAAGCACTGTGAAATGGTATATAAGTCTAAGTGCTATTGCTATTTGTATAAGTGGAAAGCTTTCTAGGGAACATGTGAACAACTTTTGCTAGACAAATGAACACTTAGAGTTTATGTGCATTTTTTATGGAACAGACTTTGGCAATATATGAAGCAAGTCACATTTCATTAGCTTGCTTAACAGCCCAGATTAAACTTCCTGTTACATTTGTATAGCTACAAATGATTATTGCATAGCATTTCCCACTTATATGTGCACTGAATTTTTGTTTGCTTTTGGATGGGACCACAAGTATGCAAAAAAGTAGCTTCTATAACAATTTGGACTATAACTTGAAATATTTATTAGCCATGCTTATTGAGGCCGATAGCCAAAGTCCAAGAATAGGTGAATGGCACAGAAGAGTTGCATAGCCTCATTTATGAAACTATATGGACATCTTATATAGACAAGTAAACAAGAAATGTCTCACACGAAGGCCTATCTTACCAAACAAACCCTCCAGATTTGTTGGGACCATTAATAGAAATTATATCCAACATAGATGGATTTGGTCTTAATACACCTGAAGAAGAAGGGCTGAATTGGTGTTGGCCATGGTTTCTTGGAGGTATGACTTTTTAAACTCTTTTTAAGGATTCTAAGATAATGGATAAAACTATGTTTTATTTCTGATATCTATTTTACAGTGGATAATGATTTGAGAGAATATACAGTACTTATACAGGTAGTCTTTGACTTAAAATATTTCGTTTAGTGACTGTTCAAAGTTACAACAACACTGAAAAAGTGATTTATGACCATTTGTCACACGACCGTTGCAACATTCCCCACAATCACGTGATCAAAATTCAGATGCTTGACAACAACTGACGTATGTATGATGGCTGCAGTATCCTGGGGTTTTGTGATCACTTTGCAACCTTCTGCCACAGGGGTCCCCATACTTGGCAATTTTAAGACTTGTGGACTTCAACTCCCAGAATTCCTCAGGCAGCTATTTTATAACAAAATTTTAAAATGGGACAAAATTCACTTAATATCTCACTTAGCAACAGAACTTTTGGGCTCAGTTGTGGTTGTAAGTCGAGAAACTGGTTATAAGTCGAGAAAGGCAATGGGGATGACCATGTGGCTGCTTTGCAGACCTCTTCCAACGATGCCTGCATTGCCCAGGCCGCAGTTGTAGCAGCGTTGTGAGTAGAGTGCGCCATAATGCCTCTGGGTACCAGAAGGGATCGACTTGAGTATGCTCTGGCTATACAAGACTTAATCCACCTGCTGACTGTGGAAGGAGTTACCTTCCCCCCCCAACGATGAAGGTTGAAAGGAATAAAAAAGGGATTATGTCCTACGGAATTCAAAAGTTACTTTGAGGTAAATTTTCAGAGCCCTGCACATATCTAACATGTGCCAAACCTTTTCCAAATCATGGACTGGATGAGGACAAAAATTTGGAAGAACCAGCTCTTGAGACCTGTGGAACAAGATATTGACCTTGGGGATAAATGCCAGGTCCAACCGTAAAACCACCCAATGAGGGTGAAAAATACAGAGATCAGGGCGAACTGAGGGTGACCAACTCCTAAACTCTTCTGGTAGAGGTGACCGCCACTAAGAAGGCCACTTTCAGGGTAAGAAGGTGCAGACTAGCTTGGCGAAGAGGCTCAAACAAAGCCTTCATAAGGGACTGCAAAACGATGGGCAGATCCCACGTTGGGTACCTGTGAACCACCGGAGGGCAAAGATTGGCTGCCCCTCTGAGAAACCTATGGACTGTAGGATGTCGAGATAAGGACTCTGTTTTGCCACATGCTAACACCGAAGATATAGCCGTCACCTGCCAGCAAAGGGTGTTGGGAGACAGGCCTCTATCCAGGCCAACCTGTAACAATTCCAATATGCTAGCCACCGAGACCTGTAAAGGCTGAATGTTAGCTTTGGAGCACCAACTAGAAAAGGCTTGCCATGTAGCATTATAAATACGGATGGTCGAGGGTCTCCTGGAGGCCTGAATGGTCCTGATAACCTTGTTGGAGAGATGGGCACAGTTTAGAACGCCCCACTCAATCACCAAACTGTCAGATGTAGCTACTAGGGCTCTGGATGACTCAGGGATCCCTGGAGAATCCGACAAAGAGGCATCAGTTGTGAGGATGAGTCTGTCCTCCACCTTAAAGGACTGGCCTTTAGAAATGGCATTGGAGAGCCACCAGTGAAAGGAAAGCAAAACTTGCTTGGGTAATCTCACCTTCATTAAGGAATGACTCCTAACAGACTTCTGGTGAGGCAATAAAAACCATTGAAGGGCCCTGGGGAAGAGCCTGGCCCAGGGAACAATGCCAATAGAAGAAATCATCTTACCCAGACGGTGGGAGAGATGAGCTAAGGGAATAGAACCCATACTACGGAAACTCCTGGCCAACCCCTGCAGGCTGTCCCTCCTTTCCTGAGAAAGGAAAACCTGATACCCTTCTATTGATAGTGCTGTCCCTGATAAGAAAACCTTAAGAACTTCCTATGGAAAAAAACAAATGGGAATGTGTAGGTAAGCTTCTGTCAAATCAGTAGACGTGAGGAAGTCCCCCTGCCTAATGCCCTCCAGAATAGTCTGGGGGGAATGTATTTTAAAATGCCTGTACACAATAAACTTACTGAATCTTTTCAGGTCAAGAATTGTTTACCCCCCCACCCCACCCCCCGAGGCTTTGGGGATAACGAATATTCTGGAGTAAAACCCTGTTCCCCATTGGTCCAGAGGGACCTCTTGGATGGCTCTGAGATCCAGCAGGTGCTGGATAGCTGACTCCAGCTGCCGCCTTCTACCTAAATCCCTAGAAACAGGACAGGAGATGAAAAACATCGGAGGAGTAGAGTAGAATTCAAGTGAAAGATCCAATCTCAATGCTTACGTCAGAAGTTATCTCTCCCCATTTGTCGACAAACCATGCTAAGCGACTACTGATGGGAATGGGCAATACTAGCATTGGCGACGGTACGGGTGACTTCCTCCTCCTCGAAAGGACCGCTTGGCCTGCCTGCCCTTGCCTGAACGATCTGGAGGAGGCTCAGGATGCTGGTAAGGGGCCTTGGCTGGGCGCTGGAAGCTGGAGCTGGATTCACCCCTAAAAGAAGGGCGCTTGTAGTACAGAGCAGGCCGATGCTCTGGTCTCTTGAAGATGGATGGAAGCACCTTCCTCTTATTTTTGGTTTCGACCAGGAGCGGATCCAAGGCTTCCCCAAAGAGTTTGTCTCCTTGAACTGGAGTAGAGGCCAGCTTCCACTTTCTTCTTCCATCAGCCTGCCAGTTGCGCAACCAGCACATGCGCCTGGCCATCACAGAAGAAGTGATAGCTTTGGTGGTAAACCTGGCCCCATGCAGGGTGGCATCAGTTGTGAACTTGGTTGCAGCCATGATCTTATTGATGTCCTGATGGGCCCAAATATCTGTAGTTGGGATCCTGTCCTGCAACTAGATGTTTAATTTTTTTTAATCCCCCCACCCCTCGAAAGATAATATTTTTGCTATAACTTCTGACTGCCAACAAGTTAATAGCAGCAGATTATTAATAGATTTTAGTGATAAAATACTGTCCCTTTGGACAGCTTTCTGTCCAAAGAACTAGAATTACAAACTTGAGAGGAAACTACTCGGATTCCCAGTAACAAGGAAGAATACAGTTCTCTTTTGTATAACTGCTAAACATGGATTCCTACAATGCAAGAAATATATGTAATTATTTAATTTTTTTTGCAGGGATAATGGCTCTAAAACTCAGCTTGTGTTTTGGGGAGAAAAATCTATTCCATTAATCAAGCATGAAGTCTTATACAGATGGCTGATAGAATAGATTATGTCTAGTAATCCCTTTGTGTCCTAGAAGATTAAGGATATTCTGGTGCAACAACAGTCAGCTGACAGTTGAAAAAAAAAACCCTGAAAATTCTTGGTATAATCCAGCAAGGGATAAGGCCTTCCAGTGGTGCAAAGCGAATAAGAAAGATGGATGTGTCACTAGGTACAGGAAAGAAGGAGTGCTCATGCATTCTGAGATCTCTGTGAAGGACTGGCGAGATATGGATCTGTATGAAGATTACAAATCTCCTTTTGATTTTGACACTGGAGTTAATAAAAACTACCTTTATTTACTTCCCAGCATGACGTTCTCCCCTCCTGAATCTCCTGTACTGAGGAATTCTGGTAACTCTCTTGTGTTTTAATATATGTAATGTTCTAAAAATGAGTACTATTGTAATAGGAGATAACAGCTCAGCTTGCTTTTAGCATTTAATAAGTTTCTGATTCATCTGTTGGAAATGAAAACTATCATATTGTAAAAAGATTCTCAATATTTAGAAACAAGCCTTTTTTGTATCTTAGTGTGTACAGGGATATTATTATTGCTTAGTTAGAAACTATTGAAAGCCTAGTTTAGATCATGAATATATGAAATGGCATCTTATTTGATATTGCCATGCAACTCCTAAACCTGCCCTGAGTGTCTTAGGATTGGGGAACAGTTGGTTTCTGATTCATGAGAAATAGAAATGACTGTATACCCAAAATATAATTATTGAAATCTAGCATTCCAAATGTATTAGATTTGAATTCTCTTTTAGGGATTAAACAAAACTCATCTTAGATGATGGATTCAGCTGTTTAGGAAATTCATAACATACTATTTAGATATAAATAACAAGTTGCACCATTTTTAGATTTTTTGCTAATAAAAATGTTCAGGCATCATTTGTTATATTTTGTAATTTTTGCCTCTGTATTTGGTTAATGAGCAATAGTGCTTGTCTAAGTGATTTTGAGGTCTTTTGATTGATATATAATTTGATTTTCCTATGTGATTACAACAACTTCAGAGTGGCTGGCAGCCTAGAGGTATAATTTGGCTTCAGAGCAGGAAGTTGTAGATTTGATGACAGAACTCAACATTTGTTTCATCTCTCTTTTGCCCCTGAATCTTTACAATGATGCAAATTGTGCTTTGGATAGTTTCCAGTATTACTCAGTAGCAACATTTATAAATAGAATGAAATAAACATTAATTAGCATTAATTTCTAAATCGGGGAAACAAATTCTAATGTTGCCCAGTGGCAATGCTTAAATAGTATTAGACAATGTGGTCCATGGTGTAGAATGTTAATAAATGGTAATTCAGCAACCTCTGTAGCACTCCACATTTTATATACACCTGTTACCTGTAAGCATCTTAATTTCTAAATGGATTGAGTGAAACTTTTGTAAATTTTAAATATTAGAAAATGCTCGTTATGAATTTGTAGGAATTTGCAAATATTGCAATAATGTAAGTGGCCCAGAGTCGCCTGGCAATAAGAATAGCAGCAAACAAATTTAATAAATCAATAATTATAAAAAGCGTATTCCAAACAACTTGCAAGAAATTAGCATATCAGGTTTGAGAATATTTTGTTTCCTACTCTTCTTTATGGTAAAAGGAAAAGGGATTTATGATTGAAAAATTCTACCACAACTTTTTTCAGCTACATATAATAGTTTGCATATTATTCATAATAGTATTCCATTATTTTTCAGTTACTGAAAAAATAATGCATCTTTCCATTGCAACTTGAATTTTTCATGTTTGCACTAAATGAATGACTTCAGATTTAAGTTTTCTGTAATTAATATAACATATAAAGTATCTTAGAACACTGTCTTTCTATCCATAAGCAGGATAATTTTTCAAAACCAATACAACATGATATCACAGGAGAAAATTAAGTTTGGAAATGAGGTAAATCTAGCCAAGAACTAACCAAAGAGAAATATTTTGGTAAAAAAATAATTTCCTAATACATCCCTATTGAATTTTGACTTGGAATGTTGCAAAATTATATTCTAATCCACCTCTCTCTTTCTGATCACTTGACTTAACAGCAAGCACATGTGGCTCACCCTTTGTTTCCCAGTGTACACATTCAAAGCATATTACTTTACTAAGAATAAAATTGCTTCATGTGATCAATGCTGGTAAAGAGACTAGAAAGAATTCCAGAGGTCACTCAGTGTATGCTTTCAGTTTGCTGTAGCATGCTCAGAATATTTCTCATTTCTGTCTGCTACATAGTGAAAATTACTTTAAGATTTTATAGCACATGCAGATCTCTAACCTATAGCAAAGTGACCTGGTGTTTTTAATCCCTTGTATGTCACCTTTACTCATTTTGATTAGGTAGCCCTATAATGAAATAAACAGAGTGCTGTTTTTGTGGTATGATCTTTTCATAGCTCCTTTAGGCATGGAAGAACAGATTCTCTGGATCAGTCACCTGCTTAATCCGTAGCTAGAAAAACTTTAAATTGCTACTGTTGGAATGCTCTGAATGAATTACAGAGTCTCAGTGTTGTTTTGATGCTCTTCGTTCATATTTAAGTATTTTCTTCAATAGTTTCTGATTCCAGGGAATTCTTGGATGTCTTGGAAGCATATTTGGGGGCGCTGAGAAGAGAGTGGCTTGATAAAAAGAAAGAGACTGGAATTGTAGTTCACTTTCTGTAAAAGCATCTTTTCTCATACCCTGTAATTCTTGTTTGTTTGTTCATTTCATTCAGTCATTCAGTGTAATTATACTCTAGGCTTCAGTTTGGTCATAAACTCAATCCAATTGCAAATGGGTAGCATGCCATGCAGGTAACCTCTGACTCTTCAAATCACAGGGACTCTTATAAATTGCCATGCTATTAATTTCTTCAGGTCTGGAAATAAAATAATTTGGTGTGTCACTTCTTCATTGTTTGTCATATTGTCATTGCTCTAAAATGAGAGTAGTAGAAAAAATATTCAGTGGCAGAAGTAGATTATAGGGAGGAGGATGGGCATTCTCTTTGTAATTTCTTGTGTCTAGAGATAAGTGTGTGCTCATTGTTGACAGTTACTGCAATACGCTGTGTCATGAATCTCTCAAGTTCTGCTTCTTAAGTTCAGTGGATACTTTTAAGGCCAAAGGGGATAGTTTATTGAAAGTCTGAAATGAGAAATCTTGGGAGGACAGTGAGACTGGAGAGGGAAGCTACACAGTAGAACCAAAATCTAAATATCACAAGTTTTCTCTTAAATAAAGCAGGTCACTATTAGGAATGTTTTACTATTTTAGCTGATCACTATCAAATATGGCTAGCCTTTCTTCAGTCTTTATTAATTTTTTTTTTAAGCAGGACATCTTGGTTTTTCATCAAAAGTAATTTTCAAATTTTCCCCAACAGGAATTCATGCTTCTGCTGTTCCCCCCTCCTCCTATAAATAAATACATTTACTAGCAGTGGGTGGAGATTATATGCTGCAATGCATGTAGGACTTTGCCACCTCATTTGCAGCTCTGCAGCACCCCAAGATAGTTGCCAAATTTTGATGTAGTGACTATAAGATCAAAAATAACTAAATGGAAAATGGACTTTGGCATCCACTCAAAATATGGTCAACTTACTAGGGGCGAGAGGGGTAACAGCTTCTACAGCCTACTGGCAAATCAGGACATCATGAGTCATAGTTAGACCAATAGGAGAGTTGCTTATCCTTGACCTAAAAGAAAAGGATCATGCTCAGAGCTATTGCTGCTGTAATTGCTTTGCAATATAATAATCAGTAATATTCTTAGTTATAGAGTAACTGGTTCAGGTTAACTTGTAGGATTGGCACCTAGATATAGGGAGCCCTCAGCATCAACTTGTGGTCTAATGCTTTGTTTACAGATCATAATAAAAATTACAATGGGGCTAGGAAGTTCTGTCCAAGCATACTTTCAATTTTCACTTTAAATGAGAACAGGGCATTGACGTCATGTGGATCAGAAAGGGTAGCTAAGTAAAATTGCTTGGCATGGCTTACTGTTAGATTGGGCAGGGGGAGGAGCAACCATCAATAGTGTGCTTTAGTCCTCACATCTATTTATGATGAAATGTGCTACTTGAAACTAAGTTATCTTTCTGGGTTTTTATTAGAATTGATTCTTGACTTGGCACTTGAATTACAAAAAAACCCCACCCCTGTTTCTTTGCCCCTGACTTACTATTTTTATTATTTCCCTAAAATGAGCTTTAGTTAGTTGAACTTCACATTTGATACTAAGCTTTTTTCACATCTTGCAGTACTTCAGTCCTTTTTTCATACCTAGCCTGTCCCAATGGCTTCCATTCTACCTCACTGCAGAACACCTTTGTAGTGTGATGCCAGGTTGACAATTCTGATTTGCTTTTTAAAGGTCTGCTGAAAAATGAAGCCATTCCTGAAGGAGAAGATGCGGTTGCTGCAATTGATGTAGAAGCTCTCTCTGAAGAAGAACAAGAAGAGCTAAGAAGAGAGCTTGCTAAGGTAAATTTAATTTGTAATGGTAAAACTTTTTGTGCAATGTTTAACACTAATTAGGAACATTTACTTATACACCTGTATTTGGGAAAGATAAAGTGATTGGGTTAAACGGATTGTGCAAAGCCGTGTTGTATTTAAGAAATCATGGTAGTTTGGACGCACACTTTTGCTTTCTGACCTTCTGAAGGGCTGCAAGGATTATGCCTAGAGATGTCATCAGAATGGGAGGATCTAAAATTTAACCCCATTTAACTCTATTGGAGGTTCTGCTCTACAAGTACAATTGCCTGCATGTTGACTGTGACTGTTCATGGGAACTTCATATTATTATTTACATACACAATGTATGTATTGTCAGTGTGCCCTTTTTCTGATGTTGCTGTGAATAAGCTTGGTTTTCCAAGAAGGTCTGAATGGTATGATATATTCTTTAGGAAAGTCATACGTCAGCATGTGGCTTCCTCAACATTCACGGCATGCGCAGGAGCTAAAATGTTAAATATCTCTTTTATGTTTTGGGTGAGTTGGAATAAAATGGGAAACTTAAGGGTATCTATTTCAACTTTCATAATCAGAAATTTACAAATTAAACTGATTTCTCATTTGGTGGAGCAGCAAAGCAAATGAATGCCTTAAACCCCTGATTGGCTCAAGGCACCCATTTTCTTTTTAAAATAAACCAAGTCTTCTCCTAACTCTTCCCTATGAACTAAAAAAAGCCATCTGTCTAATGGTGACACCCCAAGCTATACAGACTGCTCTTCTGTAGAAAACATCATAGAGTAATTAAAGGTCATTTTGGGATCTCTGTCTAAATAGTTATGGGTTACATTAGGAACTCTTGCCTATTTGTGTCTACCCATCCTATCTGGGCCAGCAGGATGGGCATGATTTGGATCCCATTGGTTAAGAAATGCCCGTGGCTAGAACCTAGAAAATGTGCTTTTTCTGCCATTATGCATCTTATGGAAAATCCTCCTCCTGGAGATTAGGATGGCCCTAACCCTCCTAGCCCAGGGGTGGGATACGACAGGGTTAACCACCGGTTCAGTAATTTACGAGGTTCGGTGATTTATGATGTGCTTCCCTGCACGCTGTGCATGCGCCTGTGAGGTCCTAAAGACCTGTCTCGGGGCCTCGACCCCTGACTGTGAAAGGACTGACCTCCTTGCTGTGTTAAGAGTTGCTGATTATAATATTTTCCTCAGCTGCTATGCATTTTAATTTTTGTAACTGCTCTCTGCCCCCAGCCACTTCTTGACATAGAAGTTATACAAATTAATTAGATAAATATATGATGGTGGTGTAGATTCTTAATAAAGTCCAGATTTGATAAAGCACTTATGCAAGTTTATGATATGAAAAGGTTTTTTTTGCTTAAATTTATGAAACATAGTGTTTATATTGCCTGTGAACTAGAATAGAGAGGTTGAATACCAGATACTTATTGAATTGGCTTAGTGTATTTGATTCCGTTCTATTTAGTGTGTATGTTGAAATCTGTGTTAAAATATACACACAAATCTGAAAGAAATGCTAGTAATTATGTGAAATAGGGCATTTTCCCTATATGTAACATTCTTTTCATTGTTTCTCTTTATGGATTCTGTCCCGTAGGTAGAAGAAGAAATCCAGACTTTGTCACAAGTGTTAGCTGCCAAAGAGAAGCATCTAGCTGAAATAAAGAGGAAACTAGGCATCACTTCACTGCAGGAACTGAAACAAAATATTTCTAAAGGATGGCAAGATGTAACTTCCACAAATGCGTATGTTTATCTTGCTATTTGAGGGTGACGTGAAAGTACTTGAGTTTAATTAGTTGAGTTCTTTGGATATTGTCCAGAAAAATCTATAATTTGAAGTCTAAGGGGGCAGGGTTTTTTGTTTTTGTTTTAAAGTGATTAGTGGAGTGGGAAGTTGAATTATCTGCATGGCTATCTGATGATTGCTTTTTTCTAGTGTACAAACATGGTTGTTAAACAAGCCATTGTAGTCTAATTTAGACAAAATGTTGGACCATAGATCGTGTATTATAATTGTAAAACCAAGGTTCACACATTACAGGTACACAAACCAAACCAAACACACGATGATTTAGTAGGATGTGTGAATATAGTTGGTTGTGGGTTTTTCTTCCATTAGGAGAGCTTTCAAATGTTTAACATGTAGCAATAGCACTTAGACTTGATATACCGCTTTATAGTGCTTTACAGCCCTCTCTTAGCAGTTTACAGATTCAGCATATTGCCGCCAACAATTTGGGTCCTCATTTTACTCACTTTGGCAGGATGGAAGGCTGAGTCTGAGTCAGTCTTGAGCCTGGTGAGATTTGAACTGCCAAATTGTAGGCATCTGGCTGCAGAAGTAGCTTGCAATACTGCACTCTAACCACTGCGCCACAGAGGCTCCTGTGTATGTATGTGCTATCTATGTCATGGCAATTTTATTAGTTAAAGTTGAATGGCAGATGATTTCGAGGCAGGTAATATTTAGAATTCTAAACAAGTATATCAACCTTGTCCAATTTATACTACTACTACTGCTAGCTGAAGGCCAATCATTGTTTAAGATGAAAGCAATCTGACTTTTCTTGTACATAGTTGTCTTTTTAAAAATCAAATACAATAACAAACCCTGGCAACAGATCAGTAACCTTAATTTATCTTAACAGATGAAAGGAAAACATTTAGAATTCAATCTAAAGCTGATGTTCAGTGGAAATTCTAGTTTATTAAAAGGCTTTGTTATGCTTTTCATAGGGTACAGTACATCTTAATTTTAAACATCCAGAAAGGGAAATAGTTGAATATTTACATCCTGAACCTTTAAGGTTCAGGGGGTAGAAAAACCGTGATAACAGAAATTGACTGACTTTCCCAATCTAGGTATAAGAAGACATCAGAAACATTGTCTCAGGCTGGACAGAAAGCATCTGCTGCTTTCTCAACAGTGGGTTCTGCCATCACAAAAAAGCTGGAAGATGTGAAGTATGTTTTATTTCTACCCCCAGTTATTTATGTTGTAATGGAGCTTAATTGTACCAGATTTTTTTAAAGCCTAATGTGGTCTGTGCCGCAGAATCTCTAGAATTGTAGAAGAATACAAACCCTTTCTTTCTCAGCAGACTGTCACAGACAGGCAACAGAGCTCTAATGGTGACATCAATAGCTTCTCTATGCTTTTCCTGTGTTATTACTGATTAAGATTTTATTGATGTTGTAATATACTCAAAATAATTTTGGTTGCTATATAGATGTGAAGCATAATAAACAAAAACAATGATTGAAGGACAGTAAAAGGCCTTAGAGTTTTTGCTTTTATAATGGATATAATGTTGATTCAAGTAATTGTGATTGCTATAGATGTAATTTTTATTCTAACACAAAACACTGTTGGTTTTTATTAGAACTTTTCTTGTACATGATTGGTTGAGAATTTTGCAATTTATACTGAGTTAGATGGCTAGCAGAGACTTGACTAAAATATATTTGCATGAAATTCCCCATTTCTGCAAGCTTCTCTTAAAGCAGCGGTCGCCAACCGGTGGGCCTTGAGAAAATTTTGGTGGGCCGCAGAGAATTCTCAACCCCAGAGCACCTCCCCAAAGCAATTAATCCAAGCTGCACAGAAACACAAGGCTGTGCTGCCCACATAGCCCGCAGGAATGTTCCCCGCCCACTCACTCCTTACCTGGCAAACTTGCCTGCTAAAATTGCTATTTTTCCTTTTTCTGACCATCATGTGTTCTGCTATGCCAGGAGATTTAGATCAGCTAGGAAGCAGGAAATGGTTGGATTTCTTGCTTTCTCTAGCTAGTCTTTAGATCTTCTGCTCTGCTTCCCTAAGGACTGAAGATTTGCTTGCAAGCAAATTCAGTGCAGACTCATGGCAAGCAAATTTGAGAGACTGAGCTAGCTGAATCCATTCAGTGATATATCTATCTGCCTGCTTTGCCTGATTTTGGGCAAAAGTTGCTCTTTTTTTAGAAAAAATCAATATTTACATACATGGTGTGTTGTGAGTTAATTTGTGAGTTTGCTTGCAAGCAAATTTTATGTGACAGATTGAGCTAGCCAATGGCAGATAGATAGATTTCTGAATGAATCTGTGATTCTGTGAGCAACTCAATCTGCCTGCCTGCTTTGCCTGATTTTGGGTAAAAGTTGCTCTTTTTTATAAAAAATTAAATATTTATATAAATTTTTATAATATTTACATACAAGTCATGCCCAGCCAGTCATATGACCACCAAGCCACACCCACAAATCAGGCCACACCCACAGAACCAGTTAGTGGTCCCTGGTATCTATAATTATGAGTTTGGTGGTCCCTGAGTCCAAAAGGTTGGCGACCCCTGTCTTAAAGCACAAATTAACAAAAGGAAATAATCTGAAATTTGAATTAGGAGCAGTAGGCTGCCCAGGCTATAAAAATAGGTTTTCTTGGCATTAACATGTTATGAATGTTGTGAACTCCCCTGCATGAACTTTGAAAACTTCCAGTCATCCTCACTTAGAATTAAACTGTTAATATAGTTTTGAATTATTGTACAGTTGATGAGGATTTGTAGAAAAATGCTTCTGTACCAGGATGCGAGATTTTTTATGTGTCCAGGAAAACTGATATTATATAGACTACAGCTCTGAATTCCATTCCCTAGCATTAGACTATAGATTTGCAGGTTGAAGGTAGGACAGTTATTAATAAAACTAAATATAACAACGTATTTAGATAAAGCAAAATTTATATGTCAAATTAAAGCTGGAATCATCTGGTTGATATACCAGCACAAATCAAATAAATCACTATTTTATTTTAATGCTGAAATAATCTGTTCTGACACTATTTTCTTGAAATCTTCAGATATGTACATATTTACAATACTTTGAAAAAGTATTTATATAGTATATTCTATACTTTTATATAGAATCATATTCTTATTTCATAATGTTGCTTATTCCACAGAGAGTACGCATTTATTCTTTCAAATGAAATGTCTAAAATGTTTGGAAAAAGTATGAGCCATTATATAAAGGCCCCTGAAATTCCTGTATTCTTTTACAAATTCTACCATTACAGATCTGTCAAAAAATATCTGTTCTCTTCAGGGACATGCTAATCAGTCTTTATAACCAGATTTTCCTTTCTTTTAATGCTGCCATTAGTATACGCTGTCTACAGCATTCAATTAGTATGCCTGCTATGAGGTAAAGTATGTATTTTGCTAGAGTGCCCAGACTTGCTATAATGTGAATAGGAATGGCTCTCAGTTTGGTTGCTACAATTATACCAGGATATTAAATACATAAAAAATATCAGATTTATATATAAGCTGTTTGTCCACTCACCTGTATTTAAAGTAAGAGATACGTTGAAAATGTAACCAATAATTTGTTTAGTGGGGGAAATCCTATTTATAAAGGTACAGCTTTGAACTTAATTCAGAAAAAAAATTCATGTAACTATAGAATTCAGTAAACAAATCTAGAATGAGGGTGATAACCCTTTTAAAAATTAGTACAATCCTCATTGCTAACCAGAATGTGATGAAGAAGAAGGGTGCTTACTAAATTTAAAGTATCAGAGGTTATATCTTAAATGCTATGCAATATTATTTATTTATTTTTTTTAGACTCCCCCATTTCGCCTGAGATTGTATATATATTTCTAATTTGAAAATCTTTTTTTCCCTTTTTTTAATTAGAAATTCTCCAACATTCAAGTCATTTGAAGAAAAAGTGGAAAACTTAAAGGTAAATTTTAACAATAAAATGTGTTGCTAAAGGAGAAGACGTTGGTTACTATGGAATTGATTAACCAAAAATACTGATAGTTTAACACTTACATTTCTCCCAACTATGGAATAAATTTTACATTTAGCACTATTGCCAACTGCAAGATGGAATAGACAAGAACTTTTCTTCTTAAAAGTAGAACAAAGTGATTACCAGCATGAATACCTTTGGAAATATTGTACTGCAGTGGAATAGTACTTTTATTCCATTTTGGGACATTTTAGCTTTATTAGTACATAATATGATGTCAGGATTCTGAAAAGTATGAATCCACACAGTAGTACTAAATACTTTTACCCATGAAACCAACTAAAGCCATGTTAGGAATTCTGGTGGTGTACTTGTAGCAGATCTGAAGTACTGGAAATTTTTTTAGAATTGTTTTTGGGCAGGAGATTCTGAATTGGCACTCTTAGCAAGCCAAGATGAGAGTCAGGTGTAATAGTTTCATTCAAAGAATTGTGCAAATAAAAATAGTGTTCTAACAAAAAATGGGGCGTAAATATATTCCAATGGAAAAACTGCCCTCTTCAGTATTAGAGGTCTTTTTAAAAATCCTCCAGTATTTTGCCACAAATTACTGTTGTTGAATTGCCATATTTCCCAGAAAAATGCTAAAAGGGTACTTTGGATGGGTGTGTGCATGTGTGTTCTATAGTTGTATGGAAATCTCCTTAAGTTGTTTTGCTGCCTTAAATTGGTAAATGACTGCTAAATATATAAGTGTATCCTCTACATACTGGCTGAGGAATTCTGATGTTGCAGTTGCTAAAGACAAAAAATACTGGTCTAAAATACAAATTATTTACAGTATCCACAGATTATCCTCATAAAAATTTTAAATTACCCTTTTAGTCTAAAGTTGGGGGAAATAAGCCTGCTGGAGCTGACTTTGGAGATGTCTTGAATTCTGCTGCCAACGCCAGTGCCACAGAAGCTACTCCAAAGCAGACGGAAGAGGAGACTCAATGATTGCTCCACCTTTGCACTGTCCACTGCCAGATGCTGAAAGCAAATGCTGAAGTGCATCACCTCTGCTGTTGACCCCTGCAGTATGTTCTTCTGTTTAGCACTTAGCTTTCCAAATATTTAATAGTTTCTTGAGGTTCAGAGTATTTTTGAAATTGGAAAATACACTTGCCTTTGTTAATCTGCAGGACAGGAATTGTTATGTATTTTGAGGATTAGGTTTAATTCCAGTCTAGGTAATCACTAAATTACTGCATTACAAAAAATTAAAAACCGAGCTGGAACATTATGCACATGTGACATTTACATTATGAACCATCACTCATGTCTGCTTTCACAGACAAACCTTGAAAGTCTTTAGCCATTAAGTGGATACTCCTAATTGATACTCTTTCACTATATTCTTTGGCCAAATAAATTGGCTTGGGTTTTGCAATGGCTACTGTACCACTTTTTTTTTTGCAGTTTTCAAAGCTGAAGAAGGTAGCTTCCGAGCATGTCATCTGTGATTTATTGGTGTTTTCCAAAAAATATTTCTTTTGACAAATCCCAGCCTGAGACACATTTTTCCTTGGAGGTTACAGGTGAACTTAATTCAGTTTTTGCCTTGTCTATAGAAAGCTGCACAGGTAAAATGAGCTTATAGGCATGAAGCAGATGATAAATGTAAAAGCCTAATAAAGCACAGTAGTGCTTTCAAATCATTCCATGCTATTGAAAGTGTTACATGTTTATTCTTTTCTTGAATTTAAATCATGGGACAAATATATTCATCTTCTCAATGATAATTGGTTGAAGCTGTGGGCAGTTTGTACACTTATGTATGTGGATTCTAGGAGTTTGCATCTAAGAAAAGGCCTTCAGTGAAACAGGAGCCTATCTAAATTGAAAACCCATGTTGAAGCTTGAGAATATATTTAAATATTGTAATCATAGGTCAATTTCATGTATAAAATGTTAATTAAATTTGTTGCTCTAAAAAGATTTGATTTTGCAGAAGCAAAATATACTCCAACTTTATTTGTTTATTTTCTGGCACCTTATAAAATAAGTTTTGCATACGTTTTTGCTACTTTTAATCACCAAGCTTAAACTGAACTAGAACACATCCTTAAGATACACGTAACTTGAGCTTTGTCTTTATAGCTGCACCAAAAAGGTTACACATCATATAAATCAACTTACGCTGTATTTGACAGCTTTCTGTAGCATTTCAGATTTAATCTGAATACTTGGTTACATATACAATAAAATGCATTGTATTGTCAAATACAAAAGGCTTCCTGAATGTTTTCAAACATGGTTTTATATTCCATACAATTCATTGTATGCATATTTACTTTGAATTCAGTTGCGTATTAGTTACCTTTAAAATATTAATCCAGATGTTTCACTTTTTATTTTTACTTCTAAATTTTTCATTGGTTCCCAAATGGGTCATTTTTAGAAAACAAAGAACACTTTTGTTCATAGAAAAGTAATTAGATATTAGGGCATTCTCATTAATCCATTTTGTGTATACTTAATTCTCTGCATAATATATACAATCAAAGGCTTTTCTGTAAACAGTAATCCAAAGGGAAACTTTATTTTTAAAATATATTACTGGGTCTCCATTATTCATTCAGTGTTAATTGTAATTCTTAACACACTGTGTATTGTTCGCAGGATCTGCTTCTTGTCATGATGTAAACTTGTTTTAGAGAGTTAAGTTGGCAGTTTTCTGATTTTTCCATATATCAGCTCAAACCTTTTTTTTCTGGCACATGCAACTTTTAGTTTTTCTCTTGCTTCATTATGCCTCCTAGCCCTATTCCAATGCTCTTTCACCAGCTCTATTGGGACTAAGTTCTTCTGGGTATAGGTCTTTTTAACAAAGAGATCTTAACTGTTCCAATTTGTTTCATATAGTGTGATTTTGTTTTTGTTTACAACAACCTTGTTCAGTTGAATTTTTCCCTATTTTTATAATCTGGCTGTACTGAATTATTGCTGTGCTTTTGACTCAATATGCTCTTCCCCACACATACAAATTCTGCACTGCAACTGTCATTAGAACTTTTGTAAAACAAATATTAACTTCCAACTGGTATGTTAGAGCTTAAATAGTACCCTAAAGAATTTGGAAATGGAAATGTATTTTGATGCAGCTTGATACTGAGACACCATAATGTTGTGGCTCCGATTCCTGAGCCTGCGTTGTTAGAGGAAGAGGACTAGGAAGATCAGGAGGAGGAATTGGGAATGCCTTCCTCCCCAGGACCTTCCTCTTTGGCAATGCCTTCCTCCCTGATAATACCTCAGGTTTCAGCAGATAACCGAGAGGAACAGCCTGAGATTAATCAGGAGGAGGAGGGCATATCAGAGCAGCCTCTGACAGGGAATCAAGTAGACAAATGTTGGCTTGATCTTAGGCAGCGTCGTAGGAAGAAGTGTGAGCTGCAACGTAGGAGGCGTGGGTGAATCAGAGAGTGAGCTGAGTCATCGGGACACACCCCACGGGATAAAAGTGGGTGTGTTTTCTCTGGAAACCTTGTACGGGACAAAGTTTTACTTTTCTTTCAGGCTTCGGTGTGATTGTTTCTTGTGGTCTGCGTTGGAAGCTTTAGTGATAAATTCTTGTTATCATTTCAGACTTGGCAGGCAGCGTGTGTTAGAATGCCAAAGACATTATCTGTATAAAGGAATTAACTCTGTAAAGACCGAGTCTTCTTGCCTGCTTGTATTTGTTTGAGTTTGGACTCTTCATCTTTCTTGGAAAGGAGAAAGGTGAGACATAACACCATAATACAGGATATGAGAATGAATGAAAATAAAGTTGCTTTAGGAAATCCGTATTCCCCACAGGTGTACAAGCCTTCAGTTATATTCAATAATTAATATAGACAGATAACATCAAACACTTGATATTCCAAGAATGGATTTACAGATAAGTATTACATTTTGTCTTTTTGCCAATTTATTGATGGCTTGAATGGCTTTAGGTGGCATATTAAAGGTACTAAATCCAGGATCTCCCCTTTGAAAAACTTATTTATCTTCCAGGTACTTCAGGCACTACAGTAATATTAACTAGTGTGCTACTTATAATCTGCTTAACCATGTTTAATTAAGATTTACACCACCCAATCAATTGAATTGCCCAACACAATACAAGCTGGTTTGTGGTTCAGTTTGTCACGAATAAAACAACTATTTTAGATTTTAGAAAATCAATTCTTGCTATAATTAACTTCCAAGTAAAAACCACAAGGCGGCAGTAGTGGAACAAAAATAAAGACTGAGCTTCTGAAATAACAACATATACCTTTTTAAACTTTGATAACTTAGACACAATTGATTTGGTTATTCTGAATTATTAAGCAACAGGATGTTCATACATGTGCAGTTACCTTTGGCTTTAAGTTTTACAGTATAATTATCAACCATAGCTTAATTCTGGATATTTCTGAGAAAACTTCATGAATGTTAAAAAGTTGAGTGGAAGACTGACATTTACTGATATTTGAGAAATGGAGAAACCGATGGAGCCAGAAGGCACAGAATTTGGGAGGGGAAAATCTGAAAGTCACTTATAATGCCCTAAGTGGTCCAGTGATGATAAAATAAATACTATTGATTTATTAGGACACTTACTGTTGCAGTGTGAAACTTTCAACATCACGAATAGCTTAGAGATAAGGCATAGGGCTAGAAAGCTGGAAAGTGAGTTAATGTCCTCCCTTAACCATGAAAACCGGCTGGATGACTTATGGCCAGTCACATTATCTCAGCCCAACCCGCCTCCGGATTTGCTATGGGGAAAATAGGAAGGTTTGCTGGATATTTCACAGCCTTGGAGTTATTTGTAAAAAATAATAAAAGTATACAAACAAAACAAGATTTGAGAATTCTCTATCCCAGCTGGGATTCCCACTCTCCCTCCTAATTCCTGGCTTTTCTGAGCACCTACTGTGTCGCCCTAGATAAAGACAAGCTGAAGTCCCAAATGTGTATCACGTAATCACACTCGGCGAGAGCATACCAACTTCATGAAGAAAGTGGCCCATCTTCAAAAACTCCGCACCTCAGCGGAACGAAGGAAACGGGTTCTGTTCAACCCGAGAATTTCCCCCTATGACATTTGGTGAACTTCCGCTCTATGCCAGACAACCTAAGAAGCCCCTCCTGCTCAGAATCTCTGTGTCGAGACGGGTTGGAGAGTTACCGCTTCCGGTGTGGGCGGAGCTTGGGTAGCCGCGCTCGGCTTCAGTCATGGTAGTCGCCGGTCTCTTAACTGCTGCTGTTGGGCGAGCCCTACATCGGGGAGCTGCTTCGGTAGGAAGACGCGTCTCCTGCCCCAATCCTGGGGTGACGCTTAGCTGTCGCCGGGAGGCTTCTTCAAAAGAAGGGGAAGTTGGGGGCGATAGCGGAAGCAAGGTACAGCTCCGTGCATCCTTTCTTATTCTTCCCCCGGCTTTCTTTTCGGGTGTCCACTTTGTTCCGGAACTGAAGAAGGGCCGCCTTAACGGGTCCTTTAACGCTCTTGAGCCTCTCCGCCTAAATGCTTTGTCCGCGGACGGCCTGAGGCTGACCCTGAATGAATTCGGTACCTGGAGGCTGTACGGAGAAACGTTTTCCGTCTTGCCTAGGCGCGAAGACAGTTTTACAATCTCTCTAATGCTGGGCATTCTTTGCAACACTTTCCCCCGGCTTTAACTATTGTGATCTTTGTTATCATAAGAACAGCCTCCTCTCATATTTTATATAAATTGCCCTTGTTTTTTTCCCCCTTAGGACCCATCTTCTCTGAGCAGGGGGTGGACTAGAAGACCTCCAAGGTCCCTTCCAGTTTCTACCTATTCTAATTCTTGTTCTTATTCCTCTCTCTAGCACACTGTCCATCTATCCTTGAACTGAGAAAACAAAACTCTTTTCCTGATTGTCAACGACAGTGGCCTTGACAAGGCGTATGGCATATTTATTAATCCAGATGTTTCACTCTAGATTTGTTACTTCTAAGTCTTTCTTTTGGTTTCCAAATGAGTCATTTTAAAGGTTCATAGAAAAGTAATTAGATATTATGACATACTCATTAGTCCAATATGTGTATATAATTTTTTGGCATAATCTATACAATCAAAGGCTTTTCGGTAAGCAATAACTCAAAAGGAAACTTTGCTTTTAAAATATAGTGCTTGCTCTCCATTATTCATTCAATGTTAACTATCTGGTTTTAGCCTTTCCAAAATTTGTCTGTTCATTTGATTTATTTGTATCCACATATGGCACTATTCTTTTTAGTAAACAAAATCATATTCTGAAGAATTTGTGCAATACAGTAATTTGTGTGTTCCTTTTGCTTTTTCTCTTGTTAGTTTAAGAACACCTTAAGTACACCTGCCTTCTAATTTCTAGGCTCAGAGAGGTTGGTTCCACATGTGCTGACAGAGCTATTCCACAAAGATTCTCAGTCTACCTTCTGAAATTGTTTTTGTAGTTGGCTCATACACTTCTGCAACAATTTGATAGAAAATGACCTGTTATTTATTATATCATAGCTGAGCATATAATTAGTGCATTTTTAGTGTTATTGCCATTTGGGTCTCATGCCCTAGATTACGGGCATAAAACTCGCTGCATCACATTGCTATCATGTGACATTTTGTGATGTTTTTCCCATTTGCGGAGCTGGAGTGAGTGTGGCCTGTGCATGACACATCTGGCCAACTGGCTGCCAATTTGACACCCCTGGCCCTAGATAGCATATTGTATAATTTAAAATTGTCTGTGCTGCTCAGCCTAGTTTATTCCTAAAATATACAGACACGTTTTTTAACATATTATGATCTACTGCATTATTTCATGCATCTGAGGCTGAATGTTGGCAGTTGGAATAAGAGCCTTGTAGCCTGATCATCTCTGGCAGTCCTACAGCATTCAGTGAAGTGAATACTTTTGGCAAACCAGATTACAGATTTAGGTTTCACGTTTACATTAGTTTGTCTGATTCTTTAAGAACTGAAGTTTAGGTTCCAAGACAAGCATTTGAGGATATTGATTTTTACTTGAAAGTAAATTCCACTATACACAGCAGGGCATTCTAAATTTAGAAGGGAATATTTGTAGTTCAGGGTTGAACGATGGGGCTCCTTCGTGCTTTCTAAGCTTGACTGTTTGCAGACATTTCATTACCAAAGTCTGATTATATTATCAAATTTGGTAATGAAATGTCTGCAAAAAACAACCAAGTTCAGAGGGTACCAAGGCCCCCCACTATTCTAAATTTATTTTTTGAAGTAGAAACTATTCTTACAATTATTTCAAACAATGATTAAAATGCACATCATATAACTGTTAATGCTATAAAAGAAAGGTGATATGAAGCTTTGTGTGGAGAGATTTTGAAAAAGCCCTGTTGTTTCATTGTAGGACTAAGCAGTTCTTCACTAGAAATGTTTAAAATGCGGAAATGATATAAGTACTTTTTTTTTAAGCAGCCTTATATTTTTCTAAGCTTGCATGCCCACTCTGTAAAATGCCCTTGCCCCCAGATGTATGTGCTCATACAATAGGTACAAAATTAGTATGATATTACATTGTCTAGCCTTTAAGGGAGGGGTGTCAAACTCAGTTTACGTGACATCATCACGTGACATATTGCAACTTTTCCCCTTCGCTAAGCCCGGCATGAGCGTGGCCAGCACATGACACATCTGGCCCATGGGCCGCAAAGTTGACAGCCCTGTTTTAAAGTATTCTGTAGCTGTATTTTACACTGACTGCTGTTTTTTAACTATTACGAAATGGACCTTGAGCACATAAGGGAAAGATACATTATAAAGGTAATAAATGATTACAATCAAGTGTGCATCCTCCTGAGATCAGATAGGCTACAGTAGTTCACAATCCTT